AAAAAAAAAAAAAAAGAAAAAAGAAAAAAGAAACCTGCTGCTTTCCCCAAAAGATAGTGACTGTAGTCACTACCATTGCAAGGTAAAGGCATTCTATCCACTTTCTCTTCCTACCTATACCCCATGCACTTACTGCTATGCCCTGCACCCACATAAGCATCAAATGTGATCTGTGTGATTAACATGTTGGCTAATCGCAGCACCCCATGTGCACAGGGTGTGGTACTGCCCAGTGCTTAACCACTGATTCATGATGGAGGGAGATGACCACAGACGCGAAGAATTAAAATTGAGAGAAATCTTAGGCATGACTTGGAACAGCCATCTCATTTTAAGAACAAGGACAATGAGACCCAGTGAGGTTAAATGAGTTTTCAACTGCCTTGTATCGTGCCGCCGCTGGGAATGGGAAACCAGGCATCCTGACTGTGACCCTACCCTCCACCCTGTGCTGCCTGCAGCACACAGGTCTGTGCTGTGCTGCACTGTATTGCAATCAGTTCCTTTAGCAGGCATGCCTCCCCCATTAGACCATGTGCTACTTAAGGAGAGATCCATCACCAGCTGCTAGCACAGCCAGTGACACATAATATGACACCAGTGAAATATTTGTTGGAAGAAATGAGTAAGTGGGTGAAGAAATGGTACATGCTTTTCCCCATTCATGTACCAAGAAACAAGTGCTATAACATTTAGCAGTCTCTACTACTGCCTGGTCAGACTAGTCATGAAGAAGAATACAGAAGATATAAAAGGAGTGAAAATATTTTTTAAAAGTAGCATGAGAAATCAACTGGAGGAGAAGAGCAGATACAATTTAGTAGGAATCAGAGCCAGACAAATTCAGGGCATAGATAAAATTTCTAGATTCAGTCCTGGAAGCTTTTTGTCAGGATATTTGTCTCTTATCATCTCTCCCAGCTTTTAAATAAGCAAATCTCATCCTTGCCAGTTCTCCTTCAAGCCAGGAGTGCAGAATGACTACAGGGTTCACCTATCACAAGCAAAGTTGCTCTGAAGCCCATCACACCTCCCCATGGAGCTCCTTCCACCCAAGTATCACTTACTGCAGGGCCTTATGCTGCTATGTTCCCATCACAGCTGAAAATGCAGATATCCCAATGTGGCCCCACTTCTGGAATACCACGGCCCTCCATATCTACAAATTCTCCTGTGGTTTCAAGCAACTACAGACCAAAACCAATATCTTTGGGGAACAAAAAGAAAAATTGCGTTGGCACAGAACACGAACAGACCTTCTTTCTAATCATTAGGCAATATGTGTAACAATGCAGTGTAACAATATAGTATATTTACATAAGGTTTACATTATATTAGGCACTGTGAGTATTCTAGAGATGACTGAAAGCATATGGGAAGATGTGTGTAAATTCTATGCTGATTTTATGCCATTTTATTTAAGTGACTTGAGCATCTGCAGATTTTGGTAGCCACAGGTGTCCTGGACGCAATCACATAAAAATACAGAGGGATGCCTGTGCTTTCTGTTTGGACAACATGCACCAGGAGATGCAAGGACTGGCTCCTTATTTAGTGGCATGTCAGACTAAATAGGCTGAGTCTATCTCTCCTTGCAAATTATGCCAAATCAATAAAAATAAAGGCTAACATCCAGTCATCAACCCCTATGCAAGTTTTAATTTTTGGAATGCTGTCAGGATGTAAGGAATGTGACTCCCATGCTTGGTTTTAAAAAGCAAGAAAGAAACAGAGTCTGCAGGAGTCCTTTCCATAACAAGCTGATGACATGGAACTGAGGAAGAGCAACAACAATACTGGACGTCCGTAGGGAGTGAGTCCCCGTTGGAGGGTCACATCCAGGCTGCTTTTCGGGGTCTGAGTGGCCCCGTGTATGTAGAAGGGCTGGCTGAGCTCCAGGCAGTCAAGGAATCTAGATGGTGACAGGAAAAGTAGCCTTTGGGAGGTGCGACTGCGCATTTGCCAAACAACTTCTGTTCATGCCCTTGCCCCTTCTGAAAGAGTTTTCAGGTGATAGGCAGTCATCTGTTCTGGATGAATTAGGTCGCCTTGGCTCAGGACAGATAGAGAAATCCGTCTAGAACCCTTAGAACTCCACACACCCTTCCAGACAGCGCTGCGAGATGTGACTGAAATATGCAGTGAATGTTTGAGTTTTAAAAAAATAGATGACAGTTAAAGATATGTTGTCACTGATCCCTCTAAAAATACCTCTTCAGTTTAAACACTGTACCCCATCACTCTTGCCACCCTCTGAAGTGGCTCTGGAAGTCCTCCTCCGTAGTTTCTTTACAAAGTGTAATAAAACAATATGGTAAATGCTGCTGCTAAGTGCCACCTGACAGAAAGGCAGCTGGTAAAAACATCACAATTGTCTTCAGCCACCTTACTCACCAGATCTGGCTCTTCCCCAAAGTAAGAATGACCCTGAAAAGAAGACGTATTGAATCAATTTGGGACACTGAGGCAGCCACAACAGTACCACTAGAAACACTCATAAAAGGATTTCCAGAACAGCTTCACAAAGAAGCCAGAATGATGGGATAAGCGTGTTTGAAATGAGGGGAGTTACTGGTAATGTGTTTTATACTGTGAAACATCTTTAAAAATTTAAACATTCACCATATTTCCAAATGACACCTTATAAATCCGACCGCCTCAACCATTCTCCGCCCTCTCTTACCACCCTTCTAAGCTTTTCCTTGAACTCACCAAGAACACTTCCATGCTTATGATTTTTGCCCTCGCTATTTCCTTTTCTTGGTGTGGTCCACATGACTTTTACCATACACACACACACACACACACACACACACACACACACACACACTCCCCCTGTTTAGATCTTTCTTCTATTATCTAGGAGACCTTCCTTGATAAATGTTTATTTCACAACCACCTCTAAATACAACCCTTCAGCCTTCACAAAGTCAAAAATTTTGGTTGTTTTGATACGTGATAAATTCCTAGTATCTGAAGTATGAGAGATACATAGCACGTATTCCCCAAAAATGTGCTAAATAAGCTTGTAACACAGGTCTATCAAAGGAAAAGTCTCATCTCATGATGCCCAGAGAACAGTTTGGGAAAATTTGTGGATACTTTTGTAGACTAAGTCACTCACCTATATGCATCCAATTTATACTTGAAACCCAAGGAGACTGGGAGAAAGGGACACATCCAGCTAAGCAAGACAACAGCATTGTCATTCAGTTCTCATCGGGGCTCCAAGCAACTTTTAGAAAATCTGTACTCTGATATACAGCACTAATTTGTGCCTTACGGAAAATCAAATAAATTATTTTTCACCTGAAGGGAGCAGGATTATTTGACTTCAGATATTTGCCATATGGCTTTTCTTTCACACAACATGGCTTTGAGGCTTAAGGTAGTAAGAGCAAGAGCATGTCTATAAATTATTCAGAGATAATTCAAAATAAGTGTGTATCCTTGACAGATTGTCAAGTTTCTTAATGCTTCTTCCTGATAGCAAGTGCTGTACTCCTCATAAAGTGTTGCTTGTTTCTCACCACACTTTATTGTTGTTCTGTGTGTTTTCTGTGTTTTGTCTTGTTTGTTGTTTGTTTTTGTTCTCCCCCCACAGGATCCAGTCTGGCTCTTACCTCAGCACGGGGTGGTTTACCTTCATTCTGGCCATGGATGCCTGTTATGGCATTCGCGTCTACGGGATGATAAATGACACCTACTGCAAGTAAGATCACAGGAAATTATTTTTATGCAACTCCAATTCTGATATCATGTCAAAACATCACAATTCATGGTAATGTCATAAATCTGAGAAACAGATAAAGCAACAATTATTTCCTGGTGTTCTTTGCTGACATGACATTTTATTGTCAGTGCATCAAGTTGTGACTTTTAGAGGTGATAAAAAGAAAAATATTTACCACAATCTAATATCAAATGTCAGAAGGAACACTTTTCCCTTAATCAGTGGCATATCGGGGACTTGCGGCTTGGAAATACAGCACAAGTTCAGTAGTAATTTAATTTGCAAAAGCAAGTCTGCCATTCCTGCTGCCCTAGTGGCTTGGTGGGTGGCTATCTACGCAGTGGTTCTATTTGATCATGAAGGACAAAATGTCCTGAAGCCTCAGAGGAACTGACAGCTTAACAAGTCTTCCTGGAAAGTACATTTCACTAATAAGTGAATAATCTGCCAGGCCCTCTTTGAAATGAGTGTGTTTATCCACAACATTCCCAAGCGCTGGAGGACACTTTATAATTAGATAATAAAATAAACCCTCCATGCTTCATCGGGGTAATGAAATACATTTCTCTACCAACAAACAGCACAACATAATTCAGAAAGTGTTTTAATCATATTGTCAAAATGGTAACTCTCATACACGAACAAATATTTCTACCACAACTAGAAGTATAATGGAGTGCTGATAAACCTGAAATCTTACTGTGAAAAATCTCGAAAATTTCCAAGTTCTGCAAGAGCATCAGGCTACTGATTTGCTTCCATTATACACCATTTCCTCTTTCACGGGGTAGCCATGTGTTTGAATGTAATTGATGTGATATATGATTTTATTTGATCTATTAAAGCATTAAGGACATGGTACATCTTCCTAAAAGCTTTCATACATAATAGCTTTTAACTGAGTTCATCCACCAGAATCATCTCTGGGTTTGCAAGTAAATGCATTTACTGGGCACATAATGGATTCTTATAAATGAATGCTTCAGTTTTCATCTTAATCTTTCTCCCTTTTCTTCTTTTCTAGGACAGAAGGGTATAGAAAAGTCCCCTATCATTACTATGAACAAGGAAGAGATGAATGTGATGAATATTTTCTTCATGAACATGCCCCATATGGGGGACACAGGTTTATCACTGAAAAGAAAGTGTTTGCCAAATGGGCCAAGAAACACAGAATAATATTTACACACCCAAACTGGACAGTGTCTTGATGTCGGTTTTCCAGGCTTGCCACACCCAATCAGGGTACTGCGAGTGTGATGTTATCAATGCCAGTGATGATGATGGTGTCAGTGAAGACAACAGTGATGATGATTAAGTTCCTCTACATCCTCCAATATGGGTTGTAAACTTGGATATAATCTGAACTAGGGATTCCGTGAGGGTGGTTGTATTCATTTAGTTCTTTCTGAAGGTTCAGTACTACATAGTGCACTTTATAATTTAACTGGAACTGATACGATGGCCAGTGACATAACAACTGTGATTTAAGAAATGGGGAGATTGTCCTTCAAGATAGCTAGCTGCCCAAAACTGCAAAAGGCTATGGGATTTGGCTTCACGACACAAGGTTATTGAGTCCATGGCTTCTTGAGCCTGGGCAGCAGCAACATCTTGAGAAATGGTTGACTGTCAAACACTGTTCCAAGAAATGCTGTCAGGGTACAAGTACTTATCACAGTTACTAGTGAGCCTGAGCTAAAAGAAGGTGTTTCTGAGGCACTATCTTCCTCGGGTATTTCCTACAGGTGACTCTCAGGCCGTTACCCAATTGTCAATGAAGACATTGATCATGGAGGTCCTACACGTCAAGATTTCTTGACTATCTCAAACACTTCATTCAAACTGTACCAAGTAGCAAATCTTAATGAATTTCTACTCTGACTGTTTCATTGCTATTATTCAAAACAATATGACCAAACATGTTATTAGAAGGATCTACATTAAAGTTGTTATTTTTGGTTGAGTCCTAAATATTTCTGAAGGGTGTTTAACATGTACAATATCAATTTCAACACTGTAATAACATATACTGTGAAACATACCTAAAACATAAGCAAAGGATTTCCTAACTCTGCTACATCTAATAACACAAAATTATATGCATTTTAAACTCATGAACTAGGGAAAGCAAAGCATATTTTTACATCAATTTGTATCCTACCATAATTCATAATATATATATTTGTATATTCAGATTTCTATTTTATAGGCCGAAGATGTGTCTCTCCATACGTTACATGATCTATGCCAAGTACCAACTGTTTGATATGGATGATTCCTTGTGTTAAATCTCACTAGAGCTTTTGCCTTTGTGGGATATAACCATAGTATATTGTTATACCATTATAGCTGTAGTAATGATCTTAATGTCCAAAGTGCTTTTCCATTTACAGTCTTCTCACATACGCTATGCCATGTGATCCCCTTGACCACCTCACTGGATTATTGCCTATACATTCCCTCACCTCCTCAGAAGATGAGCTATAATTTGCTGATTGTTCCAATATATTTCAGATTGCCCTCTTTGCTAATATTTGTATAGAATAGCATTTATGTAGACTAGTAACCAATTAATTTGGGTGTCAAATACAGCATATTATACTAAGATTATCCAAAAAGTTTCACAAGGATTGTGTTGGCCATAGACTAGGACCTTTGCGAACTTTTGCTATATCTGTTTTTTGGTAAATAGCTGTTTCAAGAAAAGATGAGAAAGAGCGGACAATAGGAATGAACGAAGGCAGGAAAACACACTTTCATATTCCAGGACTGCAACAATTCTGTTCGCCGTATACTTATTGCTCAGTAAATATTAGAGAGTTGATTCACTGAGAGAGTAGAGTCCAAACTCATCTTTGCAGGATGATTCAAATGTTTTGAAGCCTGGAAGTAAAATGCATTTCACCTCAGGAATATTTGGTAAGTGTTTACCAGTGCAAAGCATCATGATGAGTCATCATTAAAATGTAAAAGCCTCTCTCCTGCTATCTTCTGCCAGTTGGGACTCGGATACTCACACCCATAAAAATTATCAACCCCCAGTTTTATCCTTAGAGAAAGCTGTTACTCTTTTGTTGTTTCTTTATGTGATTTTCAGGTATAGGAATGTTAGTTTTTCAGAGCTAATAATGGATAGAAATGCCCACTATAGAAAAATAGATGCAAATATTAAAATTGTAGGCTGGGGATTTAGCTTAGTGGTTCCACCGCCTGCCTGGCAAGCACAAGGCCCTGAGTTCGATCCCTGGTACTAAATAAATAAATAAAAATAAACTTATAAAGTAAGTAAATAAAATTGTAATACAGACTGTTTTCTCCCTATTGTAATACAGAAGTTCCACTTTTAAATAAAAAGGAATCTTTGATTAATCAGAATGTTCAGAGAATGACATAACCTAATTTATTTACTTGTCTAGCAAATGGGGCATCCACTCTTGTTGGTTTTAGTCCTCACTGATGAGAAATGTGAAAATGTCCTTGCTTTCTTGCCTCAGGACAGATGCTAGGACTCGTGGTGGAGAGGACCAGTAAGACTGACTGCTGTTAGCTTTGAAGGAGTGGGAGTGGGTTTTTATGTTTGTTTTCCTATTTTCCCTTTTGTTTCACTAAACCTCTACTCTAAGTTTTTTTGTTGTTGTTGCTATCTTTTGTCCCTTTTTTGTAAAGTAACTAATAAAAAGTAGGAAACAAAAAATACTTTATTCTCACTTTAGAGACCCAATTGAATGATTTCCAGTGTAATCGGGACTTGGACAGAATCTCATGACTTATTTTCCTCTGTGGTTTTCATTTTCTCTGCTTCTATTTCCTGTTCTTCTGTATTCCAGCTTCCTAATTCTAATGCAAAGTCCAATTTCTCCCATGTTGAGAAGAAATTTTCCATCTCAGATTTGCTGATAGAGAAGAGAGAGGTGAAGGAACAATGCAAGGGGAACATTTTGTTATGCAAATTTATAGTCCATTTGTTCCACAGGTTCTAGGCAACAAATAGATTCCACCCAGCACTTAAACTTTGGAAAAATATAAATGAATGCACTCATCACTGATGCATACCCCACCTGGATGTTAATTTATATCTGTGGGAAAAGTTTCAATACCATCTAAGGCTCAAGGCAAGAGGACTATAGAAAATGGCTATGACCCTCTGAAATTAGCATAAAAATACATAAGTTAAATGATAGAAAAATATTATTGCTGGTTGTGAAGAATCATAGGAAAATCAAGATCATTTTAAAAAGATTTTAAAATGAACGTTTGAAACCCTAAATTAACCTACCAACAAGTAGTAATGAATTGTATTATTGTGATGTTTAATATATATTTTCACATGGCTATCAGCTTATCAAAGGAAAATCACTTCGGGTGAATCAAATTTGTGTCACTATATTTATGCGCTCAGATATACATATATAATAATAACTATATATATTCACATGAGTAATCCTATTTTCTTCTGGTGCCTGAGTCACAGAAAACCCTATTTTAGACCTCATCTGAAATTTGTTTGGTTTCATTTTGAATTCTGATGAAAAAAGCAAAAATCCAAAGTAAATGTACTGATTGCTGAAAGGACATAAAATCATATTCAATAGCTGGCCAGAAGAATAAAGCTAGCAAAGACACTAAATCCAAAACTGAGAACACAATTAGATGCCACAGTTGTCACAAATCAGACTTGTAAGTATAGCAATCTGTATCGTGAGGCTCTGCCGATTGCAGCTTAGCTAAAGTCACATTGAAAAACATTGCATCAGGCTTCATTCACACCATGGTAAATGAACTGGTCCTCCTATTCAAATAAGCTAGTCTTTAGCATAAGCAAAACACAAATTTGCATGATTTTTATTATTTAGCTAGAAAATTGTGGCCAACATGAAAAAGAAAATTATATATGGAGACTGCTCTGTGAGGATTTGGTATGAATCAGCTGGGCTGGAAGCAAGTGTCTGAATTTGGGACCTGCTGACCATTCCAGAAGCATAAAGCCAGCAGAAGAGAATTACTCACAGCTTCTTTAGAAGAAAGTCTATACTCAAGTACTTTAGAAAAAAGACTACACTCAAGTACTCAAGACACCACTCAAGTAACTGGTGATGTTAACTGGATGTTAATTAAGAGATCATTTTAATTTTGATAAGATATAAACAGATAGCTTACTTTTTTTCTTTCTTTTTCTTTTCCTAACATACCCACCTTGCATTTAAAATGGAACATCAAATGCACAGAACCAGTAATGTTGGTCCTTGCCAGTTGTTTGTATATCTTATCACAAGTGAACTGCATACCCGGGACCAGTAGGGAAAGATGTTTTGTCTTTAACTGTATTATTAAAAGGCAAGACCTCATTATTTTAAGGAACCAGCACTAGGCTTCCTAAGTAGCATAGGCTGTTAGAGAGAGCTGATAGGAACTTTAAAGACCAGCTAGTACAACCTCTTCACCTTGGACTTGAGAAAATAAATCAAGCATAGAAATAGAAATCATAGAAATAGAAATCAAGCATCTTGCCTTTGATTATTAAACCATGATGGAAGTAGTTGGATTCAAAGTCTTGTCTGCTGTTTCATTTAATATTTTTCTACAACACTCTTTTAAGCATGGCTTAACATCTGGGAAACTGTGTATGAGATTTATAAAGAATTTACTTTCGTGGAAACAAAGGGCTCCCATTAGTGCTGATTCTACTGAGGATTCAAGAAATCTCTACACCGAAGTATAGAAATATTCACATAATTGAATGGACATATATCACTGTTTTTCTCCTTTCTCCATTTGTTTCTAAAGCCATAACATAATACAACATCGTGAAATCCTGAGACCAGTGTAACGAAGACAAAAGTGAGTTTCTTGGTCTGTGACATTGAGGACAGAGTCAAGAGCTGTTGGGTGATGGGAGTTGCCCAGTGAAATGAGCAGGCCCTGTTGCTGACATCCCCAGAGCAGAAATGACTGATCTCAGACCTTCAGGTGCCTGTCTAGGGAGAGCCCTCTCAGCACTGGCCAGTGAAAAGCTCCCCTTGGTTTACCTGCTCACCTCTGCACAGCGCATGACCTCTGGAAGGTGATACCAGCCCCAGGTGCCCCACGGGTCTCAATGAGTGTGCAAGACTGAAAAACAGGTTTTCTCTTTTCAGTCCACTCATATGATCCTGTCAGAAATGGAAAATTTTAAAGCCATATGCACTGGACTCTGGAAATGATTCTTGCAGCCCAGAAATAGCGTATTGTTCTGTTGCTCGTTTTTATTCAACCTTAGAGACACAACCAGAATAAAATTGCATATAAATTGCTAAGGTATTGAGTCAGAACTGTCCTTGGGCATTGTAACAATGCAGAAAATCTCATTTAGTTGTTTTTAAGTTCTCTGCTTCTTTTCTTTCAGAATAGGCAGAATTTGTTTTTGAGGTAGAAAACCTCTTCTTTATCCACATATATTTCCCTTTTGTTCTTGCCTTGAAGACTTCAGAAAAATAGAAGCTCACTTTCATAAAAGTGAAGAACATCTTGATGAATAAATAGCTAACTTCTAAATTCATGTATTTGCCTACATAAGTGAGCAGTTTCTTCTAAGACTCTCCGAAGGGACCAAACCCAGAGTGTTTTATGGTTTCTTGTTAGCCAACCTACAGAGTACTAATTTCCTCATGTTTAACTTTGTTGTCATTGCTACCGAGTAAATACCTATTTCCATTACATATAATATATTTTAGGTTTCACTCATCTTTCTGAGTTCACACAATTTTTGCTGTAGTCTCTCATTCACTTTTAAAACCTGTAATCTTCATCTATTTACAGAGGAGATTCCAAATGCACAGCTGTACGTTAAGTTGAGGGCTTTTTTCTGGTAGCAGATTGCTTCGTTTATAGATAGTGTGTCTTAGAATAAAGCTTGCCAAGTAGCAAATGGGCTATGAGCACATTTCAGTTGTTCCCCTTTTATAACAGGGCCATTATATGTTAATAAAGCCAGAGAATATCATCATTGAAAGAAAAAATGGTGGAGATGTTCAATATACCTTCTGTTTTAGGCAGAAAGATAGCCAAGATAACAGCATATACAATAACAAGAAAAGGTACTGATCAGCCTGTAGGATTTGTGTAGTTCACATTAGCTGTCTGATGCTGAGATATATTTCCTTCCTTGCTGCTCCAGACTTACTAATGAAATCAAGTTAACAAAAAGCTAATTCAAGTAAAGAATTCTTTCTTTCCTTCTGCCTTTTCTCAACCTTCCTTTCCCTCCTTCCTTCTGTTTCTCCTCTTATCCTTTTTGTTTTTTCTTCACATTTGGATAATTTCTCGTTTTACAAGTCAGCTTATAACAATAATACCTCATCTAGTTCTGTAAGAGACATGTATTTGGAAGAAAGCTTAAAGTGAGAATCTTCTTTAAAGTGAGAATCTTCTTTGAAACTAAATAATAGTAACTTATATTCCAGGCTTATTAAGGGACTGAATGTGAGGTACATAATACTATTATCACCATTTCATACACAAAGAAGTTGAAACAGAAGGTGGTCAGCCTGAGGTCACACATTAGCAATGGGACACGCTTTGAACAAAACCAGGGGGGCTTGATGCCTATATCCACTTGGGGTTGGCTAACTGATGTAACTAAGAACCCCTAAGTTTTGGTGATCTAACAGTGAGTCTATTTCTCTCTAAAATCTGAGTTCGCATATCCTCCTTCTCCACATAGCTTATCTTCAAAGGTGACTCAGGAAAAAAGACACCCTCCATTATGCCACGTTGCCCTTCTCTGAGTGCTCTGAGTCCTCTCTGGCTTTCTGCTGATGAGGAAAGACCATCATGTTGCTGCAGGGTTTTAAGGGCAAAATTAAGGGCATACATCACTCCAGCCACATCCCACTGACCAGACTCAGTCACAAGCCTAATGGTTAGGTGGGCCATGCCAGCTAACTGCGGGCCCAGCAGGGAAACGCACAAGTTTAGATAAAGACATAGAAATCTCTGTCATAATCCTCTTGGTCATAATGACACCTGGCTGCAAGAAAATCACTCTGTCTCGTGCAACTGTAGGAGTTGGTTATGTTGTTAATTCTTGTTCCAGGTTTAGGGCCATCTGAGAAAAATCTTTTCTCCATGTGGATGCCAGTACCCACACCTGAAACAGAATAAACTAGAGGACAAAATATTGATCTAGGTTCTGTTTTGCCTGAGGAAGGAAAGAGAGAAACTCATAAG